GCTTGCGCCTCATGAATCTGGCTTTCACGGGTGCCAACCAGTCTGTGAAGGATGACAGAGACAAGCAATTTGGAGGAGATGGAGATCAGACTGATTCCTCTATGGTTGTAACGTTCCGAACGTGAGCCCCCTTTGAAAACTGGAACAATAATGGAGCGGCCCCAGTCGGGTAGGAAAGTTTCCTGCTCCCACAATGTCACTAGTAACTCGTGTAAATCGTCAACAAAAGCTTGGTTCCCGAATTTGTAGTGGTCTGGAGGAAACTCACCTGATCTCACAGCCTTATTCAACTTCAGCAGTCCGATCACACGTTCGACTTCTTAGTGAGAGGGCGGATCCGAAGGAACTACCCAGAGAGCAGAGCAATTATTGGCCGGTGAGGAATCTAACAATTCCGGCCAATTAAACTACCTTTCAAAGTGCTCGGCTCAACGTTCAAGCGTTTTTACGAATTGTGGACTGGCTGTCCACTCTTGTCACGTACAGCTTCACTAACACCAGGTCTTTGGCTGCCCGTTTACCGTATCAGACAGAATACCCTACGATGGTTACCAAGGTCGGCGGCCAGTATCACCCCCGGGCACACAACGAGACCACCAGGATTGGAAAAGGGGGATAAAAGTGAAGTTGGAACAGGACGATAAGGTTGAAAAAGCTCAACAGGTGGAACAAGAAGACGGGAAGGCTTGAGCAGTAACATCCAAAGCCATACCCTCCACGATCGATTCAGCAGATAGGGCGCCGCTAATTGGCGTCTCAGACGGGCAGAGCATCAAGGAATGGTTTGAAGGTATTGCGTGGGCGGGATACTGTCAGGTTGCCCAGTTGTAGTCAGGAGAAGGTTAAAGGTTTACCACCAAATCCTTTCGATCAAAAACCTGAAAGCAAGGTAGCGGGGTTGCCAGTGGGCTACAAGGAGTTCGTTGCAAGGAATAAATTCCTGTTACTTACGAGTAATATGGAATAAGGGACTCACTCCAACACCCAACCTGGAGGAACAGGAGGCTGAGATTATCTGGCCGCTAACCATTAACCAATCTAGTATGAGTGGCTCTGAACGTGCGAAAAAGCACCACCTAGAATAACTCAATGGATCGCGGAAGCACACAAACCATTGCACCACGTAAGGTCCAGTGTAATTGCTCTTTTAACTGGCTATGTGGATTTAAGGTTTGTTACATCTTCAGTGCATAACAAAGCATGAGGGCAGTTGTCCAGGCCGCCAGCTCCATCTGTTTCCCCTGGAGCGCTCACTGATGATGAGTGGACTATCCCAACTGATCCTCCCTCTCACTAGGAAATCTGGCGGAAACTCTGCTGCCCAAAGCGTTATAAGACATCCGGCCCTGATGGTCTACCTCGTGCTCTAGGTAAAGATGGGGCGCTTCACTGGTTCGAGAACTAACCGCTTTGTTCTCAGAAGTCTGAACAAAAGAAGAGGTTCCATCATCCTGGAGTGAGTCGGTAATCGTCCCCATCTTCAAAAAAGGCCTGCACATAAATTGCTCCAATTACAGGGGCATAACTTTGGCTCCAGTCGTTTGTGAGATTCTGGTGTCCATCATTATTCGCAGGCTATCCCCAACGCGTGAATCACTACAGCGAGAAGAACAGGCTGGGTTCCGCCCTGGTCGCGGCTGCATCGATCAGATTTTCACACTCCGCCACATTCTCGATCTTCTCCAAGTGTATCAAAAACCAACGATGGTTGTGTTCCTGGATATCCATGCTGCCTTCGATTTTCTCGACAGTGCTGCATTGTGGCACTGTCTGTTGAAGAGTGGTGTTCCCGGGAAGTTCCTTTCCATTTTGGGTGCTCTATGTAGTCTGACCTCGGATAGAGTTAGGGCTTATGGCAAGCTTTCGCCTTCCTTCATTGTCATCAGTGAGGTTTGACAGGGATGACTTATCTCTCAATTCCCCTTCAACTATGCCATTGAGTATAACCTCAAAATTGCTCTAGAAGACTTGTTGGATGCTGGTGTGGAGCTACTCCCAGGTAGTTGGGTGATTGATTTGGATTACGCTAATGATATCGTCTTGAGTGACGTACAACTTACACTCAACCGCCTGGTGATTGAAACTTCGAAGTATGGCATGAAATTTTCATCTACCAATTGCAAAGCACTTTTCGAGAATGGGATACGCTACCACTTGCACACATCATCGATGGGGAAAGGTTAGAAATGGTACAGAGTTTTGCCTACCTGGGAAGCTGCAGAAGTGCTGGTGGAGCTGTTGGAAACGAGATTTCGATGCGTATCTCAGGAGCTCGTCTCGCCTTCTCCAGGTTGAGGCATTTATGGGGTTGCCATGACATCCGTCTCTCCATCAAAGGACAAGTTTAGAATGCTCTTGTCCGCGCTGTACTGTAGTACTTTTGCGAGACTTGGCCTGCTCTTACCGATGACTTATCTCGACTGTCTGTTTTAGAGAACCGTTGCTTGCGGCCCATTGCCTGTGTGTGGGAGCTGCACCAGGTAACAAACGCTTGGGTGGAGACAGACGCCCCCTCTAGAAGTCTGCTTTGCTGCGCCAAGTACGATGACTCTGACACCTAGTGCGCTTGCCCTCTCAGTGTCTTCCGCATCGTGCTTTGTTCGCGGTCGCTGAACAGGGTTGGAGGAAGCGGTGTGGTGGACAGCCTACAACTTGGAGAAGCAGGATGGGAAAACGGACAAAACAGCTGGCCATGTTCGGTTCATCCCTGCTCCCTGGATGGGGTCCCAAGGATGCTGAGTTCAGTTCGTTGGAAACGTGGGAAGTCATGGCTCGAGACCGAACTCAGTGGCGAACGTGTACCTCTGCTGTTGCGGTGACTCCCCTTCTTTCCCCAATAAAAAACATTACAAAAGCTCAAAAACTGTGGGTGGAAAAATAGACAAAAAACTTATTTATTTTCTTTCTTCTTTTAGCCTAACCCCGTTTTCCTATTCCGTCATGGTTCCGATGACAATATATCTGTACACAGCTTGTGATCAATATATATATATATATATATATATATATATATATATATATATCCTAATTTATGGACATAGAGCTATCTAAACCATGAAAATCAACGGAATATAACAGGCAGAAACTTCACAAGAAACCGAGAACATTTGTTTGCTATTTTCACATGCCATAATTTATCTTTGTTCTCTTTACTTATCTGGCATAAACCAATTGGATCCAAACGTACAAAAATCTTCCACTGCTTGCAATTGTGCGTCATATTCTGCATCGTTTCGCGCCATCGGAACTCTCTGTCCTTTGATCCCCAACAGGCAGGCGTGTGGATCTAACAGCAGCAAAAGTCAAGTCCTGTGCTGTCGCCAGGTGAACGGCTGACCACCGCGCGATCTCTTCCAACGGGTCTTGCACAAGCGAACAGAGCGTGATTGGGCAAACGCTCATGCGACATGCGCATGACGTGACCGAGCCACCTTAACTGCGTAGCAAAATCAGATTCTTGGAGGGAATATTCGCTTTCCCTAAAGACACAACTTCTGACTTCACTGTTGCAGCTACGTGGTTGCTAATTCTGATGAGTAGTTCTTCTCAAACACCCATTGTCAAAGACTAGGAGCCACGGAATCCCATCCACGCGAACTGGTCACAACGTGCTTCCATATATCAACTTCGTCCGAACGGTGTTATTAGAAACACGACTCTTTACCAAGGGAGAGACTTGGCGACGCGGACAGAGACTTTCTAGTGATGGTGCCACCAACAGACGCGCGGCTGCCCAGGTGGCCGGATCTATCTACGTGTTCAACCTGTGTGCCCTCAAGAGTGAGCAAGGGAACGCGCAAATGCTAATCTTGGAGCAGCACTTTAAGTCTCCAATTCTCCATTCTAACTTGTTGTCCAATCTGCGGTAAAGTGTGCACATTGAATGTTGCTAGCTTGAAGCAGGCTCCTGACGACAGTAGAGACGGTGGATGATCTTGTGGCTGACGGTTCCTTGTGAATTATGGTGTGGTTGTTGGCGGATGTTAAGGAGAAAAACTCTTCGTTGCGCAGGACTGTTTGCAGTTGAGAAATCAGGTAATAGAGTGGGTGCATGATACAAAGCGAGGGTGTAGTGTGTGTCAGCTGTACGCGGTAAGCTGGATTTGATTCCGAACGACCACCACCAGTCGCGCGGATACCGCGAGAATGCCCACCCGTACGTGGATTCGAACCGGTGATCCTATTGTTGCTGATCGGACGCACAGACCACCCGGCCACCGGCCACAGAGGGTAGCTAAATGAGTGGTATGCGAAGTTAAAGTTGGTGTGTTGGCGGCAGAGTAAACCGTCATGTAAGCAAGAGAGCGTGGGAGTGTGGTTCTATGATCCTTCACTAGGTGACCTAATACCCGGTTGCCTTGGGTGAAGCATGAACTTTGTCTCATGGTACCACCTCCTTTGGCCATGGGGTTTGACCCACAAGGCAGCAGTGTGAGATAATGGATTATTTGTAATTGGTGTCTGTCTGCCTGTGTCTAACTGCGACAAATCTACACAAAAGTGATAAGGGATTTTCATCTGTTTGTGGCAGGTGATTGAACACAAATCATACGCCTTTGTACGGATATATTCCATGCCAGCATTCCAAAACCGTTGACATCCGACGCGAAATGTGGTGCTCGGATTGCTTTGAGACATACAATGTACTCAATGAAGATAGGGGCAGTGATTTTACTTAGTGATAAGTCACATCCACCACGTCGGATTTTTGTTAAGCAGAGATTGGTGGATTTTCAGAAGGAAAACCCTTATCAGGCGTAAATCCACCATGTTCTGAAACGTTACCAAGGCAGGAGACTCATCCCTTCGGATATCCGCCTTACCGGTGAATTCTGCGCCACGGTGTCGAGAGCCGACTGTTTCGTTTGAACAATAGCTGCCTCGTTCGGTAGCCTGAGAGAACAAAATCGTCTGAAGTGACGTGTGCAGAACTGAAGTTGGACTGACATTGTCGGGATGTTAACCGAATTATATCAGCAGGACATTCGAACCAAATGCCGATCGATGCTCAGCATGTTAGACAAGCACGTGTTCATCATTTTCGTTTCAGTTGTCCGCGTGGGCTGTTTTCATTTTGTTGAGTTCAACAGGCTTCGTTACAAGGATCAAAACCAATTAGTTTGCAATGTCATGGTGCATTCACATTAAAGTAGCGCCATGGAGAACGAGTTTCAGCCATTCGCTACAATTTACACGACGGCCCTTCATAAATCTACCGTCGCGGGGTCCATCGAGGTCCCTTGTACAGGCATGACGCAGAACCTGACAATTAGTACCCTGCCAGCGAAGCATTTACCGCGTGCACAATCAACTCCATCGACACAAACGAAACGATCCCCCAGGGATACAAACATGCAAATCAGCCTAAGTAGATGCGAATCGCGGATGAAAGCGCATGCTACAAACGAGGTGGAAACGATGGGAATGATGTGTCACGGCCACGACCGATGCAGAGCAGGAGACTGGATGTACGCAGACAGTGCGCACTCGAAACCCTGTGTGATGCGGCCATTGGAGACCGACCAACCGAGGTCAGTGTCTTATGAATTAGTGGAGTTTATCCCAAGACCTGCAAGTTTAGAGACAAGAGCAAGACAGAAGCGGATGTTGATTCCACTTATCTATGACAGTATTTCCAACCCGTTGGGCAGAGTGCGGAGTGTGGCTAGTGGTCTGCATAAGGGTCGTCAAGTTGAATTCCATAAAGCGAGAGTACCTCAAGGATCAACACCCCGAACGTTTATTTACGTGACCAACACACCCTACCAGGTAAGGCACAGCAGCAAAGCTACAAGTCAGGGGTTGATGGCAAGTGGCGTTCAAGTTTCAACTAACAAACTGAATGAATTGACGCATTCTAAATCATCTACGCAATCTACGTTACAAGAATATCATGCTGAAGAGTTTCACAATGAGGCGAAGGATCCCGTGCGACTAAACAGATTCTCCAGTAACGCCGCATCCAAAGAGAGAATGGTGGTAACCAGAGCACCTGAAACGCATTTAGAACATTACATACTCTCATCACATGACGTAAGAAAGGAAGTTGAGTTAGACCAATATCGGTTTGGAAAGGCATCCACAGATTCCGTCTCTTCTGAGACAGAAACTTCGCGTACGATTTTGACGACGTTAAAGAGCTCGCTTTCGCAAGCGTGCCGTCTTAATGCAATAGTGTCTCCTTGTTTAGACAGTGCAATGGAAGCATCATGTGACGAATCAGCTGAGTTCATACGGCTTAAGCAGCATCCACAAAGTCACCCAGAAAGTGCAAATGCCACCCTCGACCAGTCGAGTTTCAGCGACGTGGACAAGCGGTCAAATGCTAATTGCCAGAACTCCCAATGCAGTCCGGCAGAATTTTCTGGTGAAGCAGCACACGACAAATTACTTAGTGCAGTACTGGTGGACTCATTATGTGGTCATCTAGAAGGTACAGCTCATTCCACAGATCCGCGAATCCAATCGGTGGTCATGCAAAAGAAGCTGACAGTGACATCAAAGACGCTTGAATTGCTTCTTAATGAAGTAGGTCACTTGGTGTCAGCAAAATCAAAGGTAAAACAGAAACATGACAACTGGGAATCATCTACGGGTCAGCAGAATATTGACGGTACCCCAATACTATCGGTTCCTCAAGGGGTCTGCATTCAACCAAAAACAACTGTGAATGCGTGGTATAGCGTACATGGCCAACAAATCATCCGTAGAGCAAAAAGGTGCACTAATCCATCAGCAACCGACAGGTGGATCAAAAGTCAGTCTGTCGCTGTGTGCTTCACTGCAGTAGAGCACAGACGCATTAGGAGCCTTCGTCGCACAGCTGTACCGGTAATAAATATAGCGCTTGCACACCCGCATCTCGGACGCAGCGCAGAGATCATTGATGGGTCGGGTCAGCTGCCCTTCGTGGATGGTAGGCTGATGTACCGAAACAAATCAGATTACCACCCCATGGGAGCTTCGTCCAGTTACTCTGAAGTGCCCAGACAAAGATTCTCCACCTCTATGATCACATCCATCCAGTATCCCTTGGCCATAGGTGAAAACATCGTGGATAGGGTTGGGCAAGTTCTACACAGCCCAGTGTCCGATTTCCCTCTACTCAACATAGAAGAGCGTGACCGCTACACACCGGAAACCGATAGCAGCTTTTGTCACAACACAAGTCAAACCAACCCACAATACTCCGCGGAACAAGAAAAGATAGAGTTCCTACTAAACTCCATTCTCGTCATGAAAAGAGTTGAGGTAGAGCAGAGTGATCACAATCGATTTCATCCAGTTAAAAGGCGTCTACGTGACGGAGTTCCGGATAAGTGTCTGAAAGTGCCCCTATCAATCGTTGACTTAGATGAGGTAGTCTATGCGCAGTTATTCGATTTGAACGGGGGATCGAATAACTTTTCAGAGGTCAAAAGTATGCCGCTATTGATCTGCAGCAGTACTAGAGCACAAAGAGAGTGTGAGTCAGCTCAACATACCTCACCGATAACGACGAGTACGTTGTTAAAGAGGAAGGATGAAGAGTTCACACTTATCTCACAGTTGGATGCAGATGTTGTCTGTGGAACAAACGTTTCACCTATCGGCGCAGTCCATTCGGTCATTTACAACGTAAGTCCAAGATTCACTGAGCCACAGAAATGTGCGGAGCCCATGCAATGCGTCGGGAAGCTGCGAGTACAGCCCTCCAGAACACCGGATCCCTGTCCATTCAGAGCAGTCCAGACAAATGACATAATGCTTCAAATCAAAGATCAAAACGTTTTGATGTATCCTATCTCAGTAAGCGGTGTGCGGTCAGGTAGGCAGTGGTTACGTATTCGGAATCCACCATTGACAAGATTTCACTACCACAGACCAAGTTCTGCAAACACCGCTTACACTACAAAATACAAATATCAAGGAGGCGACGAATGGAGCTATCGATCAGGCATGAGAGCTCCAACACCATTTTGCGTGGACACAGGTGATATGAACAGGTGTACTACAAGCGACAGGAGAGAGGATGTTTTGTATGACATGATGATGGAGTACCTGCGGGCACATGAGTTATACACGATTCACGGTAAAAAGAGCATTATTCCAAATAGGTACATATCTCCTTTGCCTCCATCCATTATGATCAATTTAAGTGGATGGCCTAGAGAACAATATGGAATGACGATTGGTCATCCAGATGGCATACATCTGGATGCTCAAGACAGCCGATATTTCGCAGAGGTCAGCATAAGGCAGCAAATGTCCCACAAGTCACAAAGGGGAGTAAGACAATGGAAAACATGCGCTCCATTTGGGAGAATCTTCCGCAGGAGGGCAGCGTCCTCACCTCAGTAGACTACCACTGGCTTATTGACTGTGCTCGAAATCGGTCAAGGCAGAAGTGGAAACCGAGCGCCACCAGTTCAGGCTGATGGACTACGGGGGCTGAGGTAAGCGACAAATGATTTCTTTGCTTGTCAGAAATCCCAAATTGCAAAGATGTTCTCCCAAGTTGAATAACTCGGAGCTGATAAGCGGATAAATTATTGTTACTAGGACCTAGCTTTTATGTGTTGTAAAGGATAAAGGTGGAGTATACTACTGTACTCAGTGGCTAAACATGGTCCCAGTAGAACGCCCGCTTCTCCCAACCATCATTTTGCTTCGACTAACATAATTCTGCCATTCCAGCTGCAGGTGTGACTTTTAGTGTAGTGATAGGAAAGAGCAATTTCAGTTTTTTCTAAAGACGAAGTTTACCACGGCACCCACTGTGCTGAATGACGCAGCTAAGTTGGTTGTGAATTATAGTTATTACCAGATAGACGGACGTGTGCTTGCCACGGATCGATCAAAACGGGCCAGCGCAGGAGGCACATCAATAGGCCTTATAGCTCCATGCACAAGGCTATGAATAAGTGTGCTAGATTCTAATAACTATGTATAACCTACAAATAAATGATGCCCTCATTGCGACATACTCCCAAGCTTACTTTAAATAAGTAAACCACTTATTTCTTGATTTTGCCAGATATTCCTTCGTTATAGGGATAGGTCAACAGATACATCATTGTGTTTCACAGATGATGTCAACCAACACAGGATTCGAGAGAACTCACTACAGTATGTGGAGTTAGCATGTATGAGAGTGTGTATGTTGAATTATATGGCAATCTTATGGTAATATCACTCATTCATTGTGCTAATAGATGGAAGCGTATTCATATAAAGGCTCCATAGGTGTTTTCACCAGTTGCCGGTTATGGTTGTTCCGCATTGAACTCCTTTCGCCTTTGTCTCGTTGAAGAATATAGCCACATTCCAACCGAAAAGAGTAAAGGAAACCAACAATTAATCATCCGAAGATGCACACCTACAATAAAGCTTCTCTAACGCCATCTTGCGGTTAATTTTCTAACTCATCTGTGTATTTAGTTGCTATGGGTCATTTACACTGTCCGATAGCATGTGCATTCGGAACTGTTTCCCTACAACTTTGTCTGCAAGACAGCGAAGAGAGATACCGGCAAGCGAACTTCAATTGCTGCGGTGACTTAAGGCTAAAAATGCAACTGATGTCGGTTTGACTTGCAATAACTTAGCCGTCGATGCAACCTTAATGTGGTTCCATAGGCCATCAGCACCGCGTGATTATGTATGCCTTCCGCATCATTCCGATCCGACGGAGCGTAGGCGCATAAAATTATGCGAATGGTCCGACCGAGGAAACGTTAGTTATTCGATTCACCCTGTTTTTCGGGGAAGGAATTATGTACAGAAATAGGAGGAGATAAAGGAAGATAGAATATTAAGACGGTCACAGATTTTATCATGCCATTATAACCATAACTTTTCGTGGAATTCAGTCACAATTTTTCCTTAAGACTACACTTGTTCCACCATGTCCATCTTGAATAAACCGGCTCCCACGGCATCTACCATCCCTGTGCTTTTCTTCATTTTTTAGTAGCTAACGGAAAACGGCTGGACACTCAAAGGAAAGAAGCGCTTTGATGCATCATTTGGCTCGTTTTCATTCTGTTTTCTTCGAGTTTGGCTCATAATTTGCAATATTCTAAATGAAAAGTTGTCCTCTGTCTTACGACCACACAACCAGTTGGGCACTCGAAGGGAGAGACGCCATTAAAGCAAGAAAAGAAAGACATCTGCAGTGCGCTGATACGCAGTAACGACACTTCGCCAACGCGCAATCACCTCCGGTGGCACGCGAGATGAAGATACTGAGAGGGTTATCCTGCCCCTACGCAAGCACGAACCCGCGCCGATAGATTACAAGACAAGGTCGTTACCATTAGGCTACGGGCCATTTGCTGATGCGAAAAGAATACTCGGGTGGGTGTAAAGGTGACTGAGTTGTGGGCAAATGTACACTGGCATCGGTCGGAGAACAATGGAACAATGGTTTATTACGGGTAAAAAAATCATTACTTAACGAGTCCCGTAAGATGGAAATTACTGCGAAAATCAGTTTCATTATAAAGTGAAAAGCGTTGTGGTGGACTCACCATAGACTTATGTGGAATAGCGGTGCTCGTTTATTAAACGCATAAATCCATAACTACATTGGTTAGGCGTTTGGAAAGACACCGTTTGATTGCTTTTTGTAGCCCCTGGCTAACAAGTCATAAAATGAAATGTAAGTGGGACAAAGCATCGTCAACACGTTTTTAACTATCGCCAAATTGGGAGCAGAGACGACATAATTAGGGAGGGCGTTCCAAGGCTCGTACACGCAGAGGGAAAAGAAATTTCTACGGCATTCACGCCGACTATAATTGTCAGTTTCAGAAGGTGACCTCTTAGGTTAGTGTTGTGGTTCAATTCCAGCAACGGACGGCAGATATGTTTTGGATTCTTCAGAATTAGCTAAACCATTAGGAGATCCCCTTCAAATGCCGATATCGACTGCTGTACATTCTTAGAGAATTCAGTCTAAGCTGATAAGGCAGATGAAAGAGGCCCCTAACGTTCTTGATTACCCTTCGTTGAGGAGTCTGGAGAGTAACAAGATCCTGTTTCTGCCACGGCTGCCACGCCCGAATAGCAAATTTCACGTGCGGTCGCACGTAGGGGGAAGATTGAGGGTTCAAACCGACCGAAGGCTCTGCGAAGAAGGCCGAAATGTTGATTGCCAGATCTCCTCGCCTTCTCTGCTTGTTTTGAACACCCGAGATCTTCCTGTATTAATGCAACCAGTTCAGGCTCCTGAGACACCTTCTTCAAGGTGTGATCTCCAAGCTTGTAAGCGCTCACCAGCTGGTGGCGCAAATGTATCACCTTGCACTTAGCTATGCTCAATCGAAGCATGTTCCTCTTTGACCACTCGTAAATGCAATCTAGGTCATGTTGGCGCAGATCGTGATCTAATAGCCCGCCATATCTTGACATCACCTAGTTGCACGCACGTATTCCTTCGCACTGACAGTGTACGTCGGCCACTCCAACCTTATTCTGGTCCGTACTTTGTCGTACGCAGAAGTGACAAGACGTTCACCATTGACTACAATGGTAAGACTCAGACGATCAACCTCGATCTACCCAAGCCACCCTTCCTCGACAAGTCTGACTCTTAGGTGCAATAAGCACCATCACAGCTAGCACCGCAACCTCAGACCAGTCAGTTCGCTCCAGCGGAACGTAAAATCTCAACCGACAGCACTCTTACTCGCCCTACTATCAATCGACGTGGTAGGAAGCTGAAACCTCCAGTTCGATTTTAGGGCTTTGTTAGCGCTTACTATTTTACATAGAACCTGCCCCTTAAATGTTTTGCTCTTAACAAACGTTTTCCAAAATCCACATAAATAGACCAAAACGTTCTGAAAGTACCAAAAAAGAGCAAAGCCTTTTGAAAACCCAAAAGCAGCTTTGCACGTTTTTGCGCTTTGCACTCTTTCGTGTATTGCTATGTATTTATGCTGCTTTTTCATTTTGCTCTCCATATACACTGTTAGTTGGTTGCACCTCGGCTTCACTTTTCGCTGGATCCCCGCACGTCAACTGGAAGTGGAACGAACTTCCTGCTCAACCAACTACGTGAACTTTACTGTCCCCCACAAACAATTTTTTTTACCGTTTCGACACCGTAGGGAGGACACGGTTGGGAGTTCGCCAGATTCCGATTGCATGATTATCCTCCAGCAGCTGCATCAGGTTTAACAACTTGGTTTCGCAGAAGGCTGGACCGCGACGGACAGTCCTCACGTTGACCGAAGGACTGCTTACACACTCCCTTCTGGGGGAGGGCTATGTAGCAGTCTGGAGATTCCCCGGTTTGCCTCTGCAAAATGAAAACTAAAATTATTTAATTGTACACCTAGACGACCAGTGTGGTTTGTTTAACGGATTGCTGAGTTCGAATGCTTGATTTGCTCATCGCCATTTTCTCTTGGCGCACGTTTCGATTGTAACGCGCGAATGCCAGGTGTGCTGTACATTCTCTGTTCTCCTAGCTAGAGGGTCAACAGTCTCCTTTTTATATCTAGGTAACAGGAATCATTTTCTGTAACAATAAATGTTTCCCTGCAATCCGACCTGCCTTTTCAAATCGCTCTCCGGGCTCCCGCTACAGGCTACCCGCTAAAGGTTCAATCTTGTCGCTGTCCTTGTGCTTCCGTTGTGCCATCGACTCCTGTAGAATTGCCGATGTGAGTGTTGTTTCGGCGCGAAGCATACCTTTACAAAACTCACAGGATAGAACATGGAAACGAAAACTAACCAAAAAGTTTCAAAGTAGATCGTGAATTGTCAGTAGTTTAAACATCAAAATTTATCACACAGTTTTGTGATAGCCTTTCGAATGTCCCGAAGTCTCTAACGTTCACCACAGATTTTGGTAGTGTATTCCAGTGGGAACGGATGCTAAAACTGGAGATTTTTTCTACAACCTTAATGGTAGTGTTGCGTTACTAGTTTCGAATGGTGGCCTCGGCTTGGAGCAACAGTGATGTTCCTGCGTGTTTGCTTTCAGTTAGTATCGAGTATGCAAGAATGAGATCTCCGCGAAGCTGTTGGTATCCTGAGGAGAACACACCAAGTAGTTGATGACTCAGTTCGCGACTGAGACCAAATAGTCCATGTGCTGCCTTGATAGCTCTTCTTTGGGGCTGTACCAAGAGACGAATGTCTCGTCTTAACCATAGACGCCAGGGCTGTACTGTATATTCAATGTGGGACAAATATGTGAGTTAAGCAACAGTGTTACTCGACGTCGCCTCAAACGCATCAAGTTCAAGTTCGCCACATTTGCTGCTTTTGAACATTGGAAGGAATTGCCATAACTTTCTTGAACGATTATACCTAAATCTCGTTCACTAGTAACCTGTTTCAGAACGTGCTGTTCCAGTAAATGTGTTGAGGAAGGTGCTACGCAGGTTGCACTTTGCAGGGTTCAGTGATCCAGCTATACTGGCTGGATGACTGAATGGTCGCTGTTACCGCATGAAGAGTTGTATGTGACTGATTCAACCACCAGCTTTTCATTAGTCAGGATTACGTCCGGTAGTCAAGACTTGTTTGAGGCGCAGTGTCTGGTTGGTCCATGCAACTGGTTATACCGGCACAAAAAGTGTCTGTTTGTTGACGTTTTGGAAAACGGGTGTTTGTTCGGTTTATTAGAATGAATCAAGGGAAGCAGAATCTGAGTAAAGAATTCTTTTCGGTAATTCTCATCGGACTCAAATATTACATGATGTGGAGAAAGTGCTAAATGTGCCGGATTGGGCTGCGTATTGAACAGAATGTGTAATTTCACGGGTACAAATCAATAAATCACGGGGTCATTGGAAGTGGCAATCATGTACAGGGGAAATCACAGCCGAAGTTGTAGGCCGCGGTAGAAGTAAAAAACGTACAAACTGTTTTTGTATGCACAATTCTGGCTTGAGGTGGCGGATGTAGATAGCTTCCGCAATAGATAGAAGGTGCATCCGGAATCTGCGCGTGAAACGTTCAGGAACAGTATAGATGACTCTAAAATCATTTTCCGTCCCTGCGTGACTGCACTCTAGAAGGTGAGATAAGATGGAACTGTTACTGGACCTCGTTTCGCCTTTGTAGAACCACTTTGGGATGTGTTCGTGAATCCTATGAGATAGGCGCCTCGTGGTACGACCCACTACAAGCATTGATCGAGTCGCTGGAGGCAGTCTGTCTTTCAAAAGTTTTGCGAATAAAGGCTTGTTGCAAAATGCTATGCGTAGGCCAGCCGCGAAATAGGTCTTTTTAACAGCGTCTTTCAGGAGTTTGGACAGGGCATCAGCCGCACTGTCACCTTTGAAAGGAATATGCACAGTTGTTTCCTTTTTGGGTACGTTCATCCTCGGTGGTTTTATCTTGCGTTCTTTCAAATGCTTGAGGATGAATTTATCTGGATACCCATTCGCTCTTAGCGCGTCGCCGATTCTCTGCAATTTCTTGGTGATTGTGTCCGGGGTGCAAATTCTATGTGCCCGGAACGCAAGAGTGCGGACTAGATTTCGTTTGTACTGTATGGGTACCGCACTATAGAAGTTGATGTACTGTCCAGTCCAAGTTGGTTTTCTATACATCCCTCTGCTGCACGATCTATCAGCGTTTCTGATGATATCAACATCCAGGAACGGTAGTCGGTTTCTGGATTCGTGCTCACGTGTGAAAGGTAGATTTTGATGCGCATCATTAAAAGGTTTCAACAGTTTCACAGTCTGTGCTTTCAATTTGTAGAGTATAAATGTATCGTCTATATAACGTATATACATATCGACCTCGTTGATGTGCATTCTTAATACGTTATGCTCCAACTTTGCCATAAAGACATCTGCTAGAAAGGGTCCCAATAGTGAGCCCATGGCAACTCCATCAATTTGACGATACGTCCCCCTGTTAAAGGTGAACTGCACGTTTAAGGTGCACCTGAGTAACAATTCCTTCAGGAGGTTT